AGAAACACATTAAATCCAAAAAGAAGTTTTCTTCGTCCTGTTTCCTCTTCTGAATCAGTGTGGTAAACCAATACTTAATGGTACTACACGACAGAGCAAAACATTTCTTCAGATAATTATGGCCTCTAATACTTGCATTTAGTCTCTTAACACTTTTTAATACTTAGTTAGTCTATAGTAAGAATTGCACTTGTTGCCTGGATTATGTGTAATACTCAGGCATTAAAGCTTGTGTAGAAATGTCTATATGCTATACTTTACACTCAAGTCGTAGTTTCTTGAAGGGATAACACTTAACTTCAAGCTCCACACATTAGTTAATTGGTAATAAGGAAATAATAATTGTCTTATTAAAATATGAAGAACATCATTAGGAAGTTAGACTACATAACATATTCATAAGTAAGCTTCTTTTGGCTGCCCCCTTATTTGTCTTATGGTTTACATACCATATGCATATGCAGCCATCCTCGGGATTTAGTTTCTACTGGTCTAAAATCTGGGATCTTTTATGTGTTACGTCAATGTGTTAACCAGTACACTATGGAGTCACAGGATTAATAGTTAATAAAAAAACAAAACAAACAAAATAAAAAAGACTTTTAAGAAACATGGATAAGATTTGTTATAAAAAAGCATTAAGCACTTTAAATCAAACTTGTACAGTTTGTTATTGTTAGAACGTTACTAATGTGTTTTTGTTACTAATATTAATACATGTTGTGTTATTAAAGTTGTTTTTATTTTCACTTAAAAAGTGGAAAATAAACCACCAAAACAAACACGTGGAGCTAAATGATAAGTTGACCCATTGAATATAAGGGAGCAACCAAAATAGTTTCTTCTATTATACATCCTTTTGCTACCACATCTGTGGTGGTTAGAGGTTATGTAAATTCATTAATTAAACTGTCTCCTGCTTCATGTTGGTGCTGACTTTTTAAAGGCTTCCTTGGGGTTCCTTAACATGACCCTAAAGCTTAACACAAGCCTTTACGTTAAAAAATGAACTGGACTATTGTGGCCATATTTTGTTGACCACAACTAAAATACTTATTTTGAAAACCTTTTATTGTTATTAATTGTAATTAATAAATCTATTCTGTTGATAATCTGGGTGTTTGATTGTTTGTTTGTTTTACAAAAATAATTATGCTGTAAAAAGCATTTGTAGGTTAATTTAACTGAATTCAGTTTTCTGTCTTGAAGTATGACAAGATATCAGTTTGGCTGAAATTCCCATACCCATGTTTGCAGGAATACTAATGTAATTATTATTTTAATAAAGACCTTCAACATGATTAATCACTACCAGACTCTTGTTGTGGCCCAGCTAGACTTTAACATGAAACCAGTGTTCAAGTCTAAATGCAACCTAACTGAATTAACCATAAAAATATGCAAACTAATGACTGAAAATTAAATATTCAGCAAAAGTGATATTAAACTGTAAAAAGTAATAAGTGCTTGCTGTTCATGTTTTGCTTCTCAAAAGCATCAGCACGTACTGTTCAGAACCTGAGTCACAGAAAATGCTACATTACTGCAGACAACATCCTGTATTTTTAGAGCAATTTGTTTCAGTTTCACCAGATGTTCAGTTTGATTCTTTTTTTCACATTCAGCTCTTTTAGCGTTAGCTAACTAAGCATAAAATATAGACTGAAAGGGATGGAGAGAAACAATATTGTTCACTTTGTTTAACTACAATATATTATTTCCTCTCTGATTCACCTGTCCTGCATCTTTTCTGTTCAGATCTTTCAGCTAGTTCATTCACCTGCTGTCTGTTTACCGCTTTGTTCAATGTTACATTATTGCCCTGTTCTGTCTAATAAATCTTTATCATGTGTACCTCAGTCCCTTCATTTCCCAAGTCTCCGTCCCCTCTTGTCTCGCTCCATCCCCCTTTCCTTCCACCTCTCCACTTTCCTTTTCCCTTGGATAGCTGCTGTAATGAACCCATAAATTGGAGCAACACAGCGGTGGCTACAGGTCGGGTTTAAAGGGGGAGGGGTGGATGTAAGTAGGGAATGAGGTGGGTAGATCTGAGCCTGCCAGAGAAAGGGAGACAGGTAGAAAAAAAAAAGGAGAGAGAGCAAAGTGGGGAGCAGAGCAAGGATTCATTCCTGCAGACGGGGGAAGAGATATGACTACAGTTGGAGAAGAGGCAGACTGCAAGGGGAGAAACTGAAGAGGAAGAGATACAGAGATGGTGGAGGAAGAGAGGGTGGGGGGACATTTGAGGAAGGTTTCTCCATAAATTGGTTCAGGAATTAATTTGCGCTAAGGTAAGGTATAGCCTTGGAACATGCCATCCCAGTCAGATGAGAGGTCCTGTGGAAGGGAGACTGATCACAATGGCAGCAGATGGTGGAAAAGGCAGAGCTGGTGGTGGTTTTGGGGTTTGGATGAGCGACGGGAGGACAGACGACGAGTGTATGGTGGAATGACAGAAGTAGAAGAAAATATAACAGATGATGCCCAGACACACAAACAGACCCTGAGCTCAAATGTACTGTGAAACACAAGCAGCCACCTGACTACTGTGATGGCCCCACTGGAATGGCAGATAGTGATGCTGTTGGGTGCTGAATATCATTCGCGTGCAAATACTCATCACTTTGCAGCATTTCTAATTACTCTGGTGGTGCTGGACTAATACATATTGGCAGCACTGTAATATTCATTAGCAGATAAGATTCCACAATGTCTCAACTGCAAATGAAAAAGTTAGGGACGTAATTGTAATTTGTTTTAAATCACAAATAAGCTCGCAAAAGACTTTGGATATGAGCTAATACATTTTCACTCAAGCATAAACTTGAGATTGATCGGTTAAATGTTTATCCCTGATTTCTTCTGCAAAATAGGCTGCGTGGATGTGTTGCTTTGCAATTAAAATGCCGATAAAATGACTTCTTTGCTTTCTTTTTCTAATATAGCTTATTCATTCATGTTTGGGTTTTCACTCTCATACATGCAGTTTGCTAAGTTTTCACAGTACAGTTGACACCTGAAGCCAATCATACTGAGGGAGACAGGAAGGAACAGGAGGAAGGATGGGTGGAGCGGGGATGGGTGGAGCGGGAAATGAGTACTCTTGATTGTGGTGCTCAATTTGCCATGCTGAAAGCATTAAGCTGTATGGAGGCAAAACTGTGCTTAATACCATCAAAGCAATCAACACAGGAAGAAAGGCAAATATATAAATAGCAAAAAAAGACGTAGTGTGAGATCAAGCCATGCAAAATATCAAGAACTGCTCACAAGAAACCACGCAAATCAGTAAAATAAGAAAGAAAATATCATCAGAGCCGACTTTCATAACGAAGGGAAAAGAAAAGACTGTAGAGCTAAAATTGAACAGATAAATAGTGACACAAGCTGCAAAAGTGTCTCATAAAAATGATAATAATAATAATAATAAAAATGACCATACAGAAAGAAAAAAACAACAACAGCAGGAAGCATTGTATTGAAATATGAAGTCGTCTTGCAGTTACCTGAGCACGGAGTTACCCACAAATCTCCCGAAATCAGAATGTTATTCTTGGAAAAAGCTATTACCGTAAGACAGCTTTGGCTCTCGTTACGTTTGATTCTCAGCATTTCTTGCCATTCCTCGTCGGGTTACACCTGCTCAGGCAAAGGCAACAAGGGGAGCGACAGCATGTTGTGATGCTGGTTGTAGGCATGCTGTCTGAAGTCTCTGCCACCATTGTGCTTGGATCTACCAAGTGGTGCTTAACTGCTTCCAGCTGACGTGCTTCAATCACTGCTGTGCCTCCTCACTTTATCCCATAGACAGGAGACATTTAAAATGTGCACTAGTGACTTTAGCTAGCCCCAGTTTATGGTTCTCTTGTGAAGACACTGCATTTGAGTCATACCGTCATGTATTTTTAAACTCTTTTGAAATGTATTTATTCAGCCCAGGTAAAATCAACCCGTCAATCTCACTTGTCAACACTTCAGCATCTTCAAAGTCTCTTCCAAGCCTGTGAATGAGAAAGTATTCTGTATGTTCTTTCTTAGGTTGAAACTGCATTTATGCCCTGGGTAACTGAAAGAGGCATGCATGTTTTTTTTAAACACTGACTTCAGTAAGGAGACATTTTAGACTCAGCTCGTTAGCTGATCTTTCTGTCTTTCTTTACATTTAGTATGTTTGTAGAGAGTATGCTACTGCATCTTTCAGGCCACAGTCAGAATGAAAATATTAATGTCATTTCAATTAATGTTTCGGGGTAATGCCTGTGTTAGCATGGACCGCACAAACTAGCAGAAACATGTTGCATGTTGCTGTAATGGCTTCTAAGCTTTGTCTGTGACAGTAAAGAGCAGGCTGGATTGGCAGCACCGCAGTGACCTTTTTTTCTTTTCATCTACAATGTGGGTTGTCCCTCTCGTCTCCTCCCCTTCCTCCCTTTTCACTCTGACTCATTTATCCAGTGAGCCGTCCTTGAGGCGGTACAGCATTAGGCAGGTTGTTAACACAGGAGAAAAGGGCGTTCAATGTCATGTCACCGTGTCGCAAAGCATGACAGAGCTGGGGACTGGGCCATCTTCCCGAGGAAATAAATACATCGCCATCTTCCTTTTCAGAGTGTAATGGTCTGGATATTACATCTCCTGTGGGGCATTACAATCCACGGACAATAAATCCATCCTACAGAGTGGTGTGTGCATGAAGGTTGGTGTGTACATAGCCTACATGCTACCTTATGACCACCGAATGTCTATGTGCATGTACCTACAAATGTAAATGTGTGCGCATATGTTTCAGTGGGGGGGTTTATGTGCACAGTGTGAAGCGATTTGTCCCCTAGAGAGAAAGCGATCCGCCATCTCTACACTTCGTCAGCTGGAAGCAGCTAGGCGGCCGTAAATCTCAATTACGCAAACCCTTCCCTTCCCCTTTATCCCTCCCTTCCCTCTCCCTTGCCACAGGTGACAATGGACCAAACTGACTGCTATTGTGACGTTCCAAGGCTTACCATTGGCTTCTGGCTGAGTCTGAGAGGGTACGGCCATGTAGGGGTCCTCCCCTTTGTCTGAACTCATGGGGGGGTCCTTCCGCTCCACCATGCGGCCCCGGCCCAGGGGGCCATCCGCGGCCTCAGGCAGGGCCGAGGTGGGAAGGGAGAGGGTGTGGTGGTGACGGTGGTGATGGTGGCCTGCCGGACACAACACAGGTTAACTGACTCCCGTGGCAGTCAGGGAACAGATTCAGTGCATGAAAGCACAGCAGGGGTGCTTACACACACACACACACACACTTGCTGGGCTGTGTAAGGCAACAAAGTGTGACCCTAGGCAACTCATTAGTGAATGTGTGTGTGTTTCTATTCGTCTGTCATTCTCAGAGTCTCTATATCTTTATCATTCTCCCACCTCCTGTTCTGACTGACACTGTTGGGCCCGTCACAGTTGAAAAGAGTACAATTGTATTTCTCTACAATCACCGTAGGGTGCCTGCCTTTGATATGAAGGACAAGAGACAAAATTTTTTTCCATCGCTCCTGTCAAGAAGTCTGCCTGTAACTTTTCTCCAGCTAAAGTGGTTCTAACTCTGCTCATGTTCATCCTGCTCCTTTTCTCAAGCTAACTTTAAATCTGGCTTTCCAATCATTTCTGCAGCAATGTTTAATTCATTTCGATGTGCACTGATGGCTTCTCCAACTCAAAATTGCAGTCTGTATTAAACAGCAGCCGAAAGAAAATTAATATTCATTCTGCAACCATTTTTAAAATCATTTTCAAGCCAAAATCCTAAATATTTTGCGGCTCTAGTTCCAGACCGTTAAGATTCACTGCTTTTAGTTACTGAATGTAATAGTGTGCAAAAGAAAAACATGCAATTTAATAATTAGGGTTTTTTCAGACAATACGTTAAGTAACTGCACAGAATGCAAATTATTTTCATCTTGTCTTCACTGCTTAGATAGGATATAATATCGTTATGACATAGTGTTTACATACTTCAATACACTTAACTGAAAAAGTGTGGCATGCATAAAAATGTCAAACTCTTTGGCAGGTGTTTTATCAGTTTCTGAAACAAACACATGTCTATCCTCTGCGCGGTGGAGAAGCTGCTGTTTTTGCATTGCTCTTAATTCTTTAATTATCTTTGAGTTTGTATTAAAACCAAACCATCTGCAGAAGAGAAGTTTGGCTTGGAAAGCTGCCATCTTTGGAAACCAATGTTGCGTATGTCCCCGTGCATCTGAGTCAACACAGAGGGCACGCTCAGAATAAAATGCAGCCTGAAAGTATCTGATAAACTGTTTACCTGGTACAGTTTTCCTACTGATCAGATGCTTCTTACACCCCTCGGAAACTCATTGAATCCCACCGTTTATTTTAACTGAGGTGATTTTTGTGGAGCACTTTTATTCTATTTGGGCTTTTAAACTGATTGTAAGCAGAATATCAGGCTCCATGTAAATGTACCCATTAACACTGAACAAAATACACCAGCTGTATCTCAGAGGAAATAAATGCAGTGCTACTGCAACACAGTACTCTTTCGTTTGTGGAGGATGGATCATACCCCCCTCTTCTGTGTCCAGCTTTGCATATAACTCATACAGTCTGTGCTTGCCTGTCTCTGTCAGTCTTAAGTTTTCTCATTTTGTTTCATAGGCAAAATCTGTACATAAGCTTTGCTGAAGAGTTTATTTTTGAACCATGCTAATCACATTACCATCCCACATGCTTACAGTTAAGCCACCCTACACAATTCTGAAGAAGCTATACATTGTGTTTAATGTAATGAGCCGCGTGTTTTTTGTTTTTTGATCATCCCTAGATGCAGAGTGACAACACTTTTATCAACAGCCTCTTGTGGAGCTCAGCCCCCAGTTACCATTTTGACACGCTATCTGCGTGAAGGAGGTGACAGCAATGTGCGTGTGTGTGTGCATGCGCATGTGTGTTCCTTTTCAATATGTGTTTAGGCGTGTGTTTGAAGGTGGGGAGGCATTTCAAAAGGCTAAGGTTGATGCTGCTGGTAGAGTACGCACAACAGGCACCTACACAACACCACCCAGAGCCTCCTCCTCTTCTGTGTGGCGTGGCAATCATTAAAATGATTTATTTAACTATTGGCCCAAGGCTGAGAGATTAGTGTGACAGGCCTATTTTATAATTCATTCCCCCACCGCCAGGGGAAGTGCAATTTAGGCAGATGACACACATAGAGAGAGCTCGGAGCCTCAGAGCTCCTCCACGGATCAGGGGAGAAAAAAAGGGGCCTAAACTGCCGACGGATGCACATCTCTCTCTCTACAGATTAAAAGAGAGGCAAGGAAGTCTAGTCTGGAGTAGGAGAGAGGAGAATAGAGAAAGGGCATTTATTTATCTTCAAATCCATATCAACCACTGACAGATAGATGGAAGGGCTGAGACTTTGTTTGGTGGGAGGGTGTTGTAAACTAGGTGTGTTTAAGTGTGTGCCTGAAAACACACAGCCCAGCCTGTGGGAGCATATTCAGCGCTACAGGGGTGTACACCAACACAGATGCTTTTTCCATGACCCTGGATTTCCAAAAGGAGGGAGATTCACAGTGGGGGTTAGCGAGAGAAAGTGCTGGGCTTTCTGGTACGGCTTCAAAATATCTATTCTTGTCATTCTGTATGGATCTGGCTGTTTTGATCTGGCAGCTGCGAGGTATGTGTGTGAGAGAGAAAGAGATTCACTAAAAACAAAACTAATGCCTCCTCCGATTAGATAAAAATAAGGTGGATGTGCGCGTAGGTGTGTGTGATATGGATAAAAGAGACTTTACTGCAGGCTAATCACATCTGTTTATCATTCCTTAAAGAGACTTCAGTGAGGAAAATGGTATCAATCGGCGGCAGTGAAGTGTAATCGTAATATTGTGTTGTGGGATTAAGAGAGTAAACATATCTGCTAGGAAAGGAAGCCAGCCGTAGAACAGTGTGCATGTATGTCTGTGCATGTTTACATTAGCCCTTTTGAATTAAGCATCTCAAACTGTGCAAAGAGTCTGTGCAGTTAGCGAGAACATATTTCCAGACTCGAAACAGGCCGGTTTTATTTCTCGCTCTCTCTCTCTGTCAGCACATATCCTGTTTAATGTGCATGCTGAAGTATTTCTTTACCACCGAGGCCTTTAACCACTAACAACTAGATCTATCCAATTAGCAAAGCAAAGGTCAGGGATAATCGATGCTGTTGCACATGGGGATAAGGCGATTGGGCACTGGGAACAAGGAGGGGGAAAAGAGAACTAATAGAATCACAATCAGCATTAAAGACCTTTAATTCTGATTTCTATCACTGCGACCTTTATTCTAAACACTGCGAGGAGCACAGGGAGAAATAATATGAGCAATGAAAGTGACCGAGTGTACTTTAATGTTTCATTACCTTCGTAACTGGAAGGGACGTCTATCAAAAAGAAGGAGTGAAATCAATTCAGTTAAAACCTTGAGTCATTAATAACCCTTCTTTATACGTGTGGGAGGAGTTTTCATTTCCTTGAGAGGGGATGATTGACTGACTAGACGAAAAGGTGTGGCTGAAGTTAAAGACTAAAAGGAGATGAAATGCAGCTCCTGTCTTTTATTCGATTGCCTGTGCAGGACATGTGGGGTACTTACCATTCAGGGCCACAAATGTATCTGGAAGAAAAAGAAAAGAAACGAGGGAGAAACCTGTTATTGCTTGCAGTAAAGGGAGCTTATGCTTTAACATGATCAAAAGCCATGACTTTTAAAGTAATTTAAAATCGACTGGCTGCTCGATATTCTCCCAGCCTTAATCAGTGGTGATCTATATAGCTTCTAAAGCTAATGAAAGTCCAACACTATGGGTTCCCTTGACTAAACATACTAATGAAACCAGAGGGAAAATGCATAGCCTTTATTTACTCTCAGTAAACAGTTGAAATTGAGATGAGATGAACCAAAATGAATGATTTAATATCAAATTGTTTTGATGTTTCTTTCGCAAACTGAGCTGCTCACTAGAATATCAACAAGGTTTCCCGTTGGAGAAACCAAGCTGTTATTTTGGACATGAAAAGATAAGAAATACTGTCTCTGTATATGCGCCATTCACTGTTGTAGAGTAAAAGAGGCCTTTTCGAGACTTTTTGGCCTGACTCGGTTGAGAGCCCCTTCTTGTTTTGTGTTTCAAAATGAACCCTGTGACTGCTCACAAGCAAAATCCCTTCCCTGTGTTTCTCTGAATGTTTGTGTTGTGTTTTCGAAGTGATTTGCAAGAAGGAACCTCAGTCTTTCGGCAATAGGACACAGCGCTCTATTGACCGGGGGGACCAAAAAGCAGCGGGAAAACAACAGAGGAGGCTGAGGGCCGAAAGGACAGATGGATGGAAGTGGGTGAAAGAGAGGATTGTGAGGGTGGAACAGGCGGATGGGAAAAAGGTAACGGCAGCAAAGAAGCACACGGAGAGCCGAGAGAAGAGGGAGATGGAGTTAACAAAGAAGAGAGGAATGGTGGTGGGGGTGGTTGTGTTGGTGGTGCTGGTGGGGGTACAGAGTGAAGGAGGAAAGATAAGAGTGAAGAGGGCCTGCTTACTTTGGCAGTCACCCAGGCCATCTGTGTTGCCATGCTCCACGTCCTGCTCAAAGGCTGATCTGCAGGGAACAGAGACATCATGGTCAGCAGTGGAAAACAGGCCAGGCCATGCAGGCTCGCCACACCTAACAAAGTAACAAAGCTATAGGAAAGCAACTACAAAAAACACCACCAATAGCAGCATATTCTATGCTAACACGCAGTGTGAGCTGCAGAAAGCCCTTTGCTGGATCAGAATCAAAGAACACCTAGCAGGTGCCCCGGAGACCTAAAATCAGTGGCTATGAAGAATGCAAGCAGGTTAGTAAATCCATAGCTGGCACAAGACGTATTGCCAGTAGTGTTGATAAAAACAGATTTTCTTTTATGCGATTGCAATGAAAACTATTATCTCATGCTCTAAAGCTTAAAAAAAACTGTTCAACAATTTGTATCCCTAATTGCTTCCTTGCTGGGAGCTAGATGTGACTGATTTCTTCATCTAGAAGGTGAATGTGAAGCTAGCTAACCCAACTTAGTGCAATAACATATGTGGAAAAACATGGAGAAATAGCCTATTGCTCAGTCATTACCAGCATATATGTTGTTTGGTGAAAGACTTAATATCAATTGATATGGAATATATTTGAAATATAAAGTGAGCTTTATTATTAACGTGAAAGCATGCTATTTTGGAAATAGCACTTCCGGTTAAGATAAGCTTGCTCCAGCTTCATAATCATCATATAGCTGCGACAGAAGTTTTAATCTCACCGTGCTCTTAGAAAGAAAGCATAAGGGTGTATTTCCCAATTTACTGCTTTCACCAGAACTTCACTTTGCACAGTCTTGTCTTCTATTACAGAATGCAGTGTGTGACTCAACTCGCTTTAGAGGAGATGAGTGTGTAGTTACAATCACATGGGCCAAGACCAGAGCAGTGAGGGGTAACCGTGCTTGAGGGCCATCATATGACACAGAGGGAGAGAGTTTAGAGATGTGATTTTCTGATGCAATCTGCACCAAGACCTGTTTTCTCCCCGAAAGACCACCGAGCAGACAGTAAGAAGATCTGTGAAACAGAGCGGACCAACCGTCAAGCAGGATCACGATCACGCATGACAGCTCTTCACAGTCCTCCTTAGCCTACCCCCACTCCCCACCCATCCTCTGCTGCTGCTCCACCTCCTCCTGCTTGTCCACCCGCCTCCCACCTTCTTCACCCTCCGCTGGTCGCAATTACAGAATAAAGAATTATTTTCTAAAACAGCATCAGCCAACCTTTGTGGCCTGATCCGAGTCGAAAATATGTGAAAAAAGCAGCACATTTAGGAAGAACGGACAGTTGGAGCCCTGTTATTTGATACTCAGATCATATGTTTTGAAATATAGTCACAAATTAATTTACTATTCTTTTTTTTTTTTTCCCCCAGTTTAACAGACCCTTAATTTGAAAGGAGAGGGTTAATTTTACAGGTTTGATTGCTAATTTCCCCCTTCAGTTTCAAGCAGAACAACAACAACAATCACTACACAATAGCAGTATCCTCTCTTCATATCTGGGGGTACAGTTAATCAGCTTATCAGATTTGCTTATCATCCACAGTCATAATCACAAAGCGGATGCAGAGTTGCACATTTGAACCTGTCTAAGCACAAATACAGTCCAGGCACTCTAGGAATCTGCTGGATTTTCCTCAACAACATCATTACCTCGTCCCACCCTATCACAAAATATTATTTGGCCTGCAAAACACAGGTGCGTCATGGTTTCCAATTCAGACTTATAATAGCACCAAGGAGGGCGAATTAGTAATGAGCAGACATGCAATACAGATGCAGTGTCTGGGCTTTTCTTGGCACATATAAAAGTGAATGAACCAAAGTGCGAACCTTTAGTTAACGGGTTCACGTCCCATGGCGGCTGCATTATAGCAACAGAAGTGCAGTCTGTTCAAGTGTGACATTACAGATGGTTCAGCTTGGGGTTAAGATCCCACCGAAACTACATAATGCATATTTAAATCCGATTCAAGCAACATTGTACATAACTGGAGGCAGCCAAGCCCTCCGTTTTATATTACCTCGCATCAGGCGTGATTATTATGTGAGATATGTGGTTGTACAGAGAACTGCTTGCCGAAAATGCAGGTCAGGCATAATAGCATTAATTATTCATATCAGAAGTGAATGGGCGGCCAGGGATTTCATATACTGGGTGTACAGTGTAAAGAGAGTAAGCATAATGTTCCCTCAAAGTCACCCATTCATTTTGATTCATGGCTTTGATTTACAAAGGATCAGGGGGCTCACAAGAGCACATTCACTCAGTTTAATCCAGAGAAAACTCACTGCAGTGTTTTAGACAATGGTCGATGCTCATAACAACATAACTGGGTTTTTTTGTTTACAAAATTAGTACCATCCAGGATCATATGCAATTAAATGTATGAACACTGGGCAACTAGGGGCCATATTGCAGGAAACCAGAGTGCAAGCTGTTTATAGGCAGCGGGTATAAGAGGCATAACTTCACATGGGAAAGCTGGCACACTAGCATCAGGGCCAGATGGAAGAAGAAAGGAGGGGAGGGTTACAAGAGAGAAAGAATATGTCAGAGGAAAGATAGAAAAAGAAAGATGGGTAAAAATAGAAACACAGACATGGATGGATATACGCAAGTAACGCGTAGCTGATTAGGTAGGCAGTCAAGGAAGCAGGGTTTTGTTTTTTAATTTTAATGAGGAGAACGGAAAGTGAGAAAAGCAGAATGAAATTGTCTTCTCTGCAGGGATCCATTTGTGTAAGCAAACAACAAAATGTCACCGACTCTCCCCTCCCTTATTTTATCCATCCTTCTGTCCAGCCTGGCAAATGTTTTGAATGGCTCACCACAGACCTGCAGTTCCTATCAGATCTAATCCCGTCCCTCTCTCACTTAAAAATATTGTACAGTAAAGGAGCGAGGTCATCTGCCCTCCTAATGCCTTTGTGTCAGCTCCTGCTCCTCCTGCTGTGGAAACTCAATCAGAACAGTCCACTGCTTTGGCTTTGCAGAGTAATAATAGGATGGGCAGTGTGCTTGCGTGTGTGAGTGTGTGGGGTTTTTTCCCCTAAGTTTTGTGTGTGCAAGCGGGAACGTGTGCCTTTGGTGTATTGGCATGCCAGACCAATCATTTTGCAGCAGGGGGATCAAATTCATTCATCGTCAAATAGCCAGTGGAGCACCGCGCCTTTTGTTATGACTTCATCTGCAAAATGTTTTTTCCCACCACAAAACTCCATATGCTGTTTGTTCAGAAAGCATAAAGTGGTTCTGTGTCATGACTACAGCCACAAATTATAGTTACTGCGACCATCCAGCTTTCCCGAGCGCTGCGTACCAAACCCCGAGCCCGCTGCAAACAACACTTTCCTTCCATTCATCCTTCCAATAGCCCCTTCAGCTGAAGGAAATTGCAGTTACAAACCATAAAATTAGAAAGATCACAGATATGACAAGCAGGGAGAGGGACTGGCACCAGGTATGACAAAAAGGCGAAATGCTGTTTTACTAGTTCGATTCAGCCAATTCCAAAGCAGTCCACAGTAACAGTTTAAATGAAAAAATACACTGTTAGAGATAAATGTATTATGAGATGATGTTGTGGGCATAGTACGTGCATCTAAATACTACAATACCCATGAGCCTCAACTCCAGTTGGAGGTAAAGGAAGAGCAGCAGAAAGCTAACAAAAAAGTGCTAAATTTCCACAGAGCATATTAACCAGCTTACTAACGTATACAACTAAGTTATTGAATGCAATTTAATACATTTTCATGGAGCCAAATACCCAAAGCATGCAGCTCCTTTGACTTCGATTGTCTTTATTACTTACTTAGTGTTGCCAACCACCTGTCTGCAGGCTCCTTCTGGGACCCAACCACAATATGGGTCTCTGGAGGCTATACAGGACCTGGAGAAGAATTGCACACACCATTAGGCCCATTCTGCACATACTGTTTTCTTCTTTCAGAAGGAATGCACATAGCTCAACCACTTGAGTAGGAATGATGATTTAATAGAGTAGCAAACTTACTTCTTGCACCGCCCGTGCCTTTCACACCGAGAGAGCGGCACTTTAACCACACAGGAGGTGAAGGCGACCCACAGAGCGTGACTCTTGCTGTCTATCTGTATACCTACGATGCGCTTATCTTCTACTCCATCTATGCTGCACCTAGAGGAGGAAAAGAAGACAAAAACTGATTACTTTGTATTTTCTTTTTCAGCTGATTTATTGTGCTTTTCAGTAGATGCTGTTAAAATGGTGAATGCTCAAAAAATACAGGCACAATTTCAAATAAATTTCACAGTTTCATTGGGTCTTGGATCCACATGGTGCCAAAGAGAGTGGATATCTGTAATCAGGTCTTATCAAGCACAGTTCTGACTGTGATCGCAAGAAATTACCTGCTCTTTAACTCTCCTGTTTGCAAGGGGTAGGCAAGCAGAAAAAGTTGGTTTAAGGAGCAGACTCGGAGCAGCTAAAACTCTTTGTTTCATTTCATGGAATGAACTAAAGGGCCAGCATAAGATAAATGAGGAACATTAGCAAAGCTGATCTAGGGTATATCGCCCTTAACTATATGGTAGTTTAAAGACAGAGTAGAGAAAAGTTGGGCATCGTAAAATGAGATTTAGCTTATTTAATGAAAGAAAGGGGAAGATTAGGATGTGGCAGAGAGACAAACTGTGAGGTCAGGGAGGACAGAGATAATGCTGGACTTGGGAACATGAGGTCACAAACAGAGCGGGAGATAAAGAGAGATAAAGAAAAGGGTGATACAGATACAACAGATAAACAGACAGATGGGCACTGTGAGCAGTCAGCAATAACACTGCACTTAACTGGAGAATCCTCTAACACTAACTCAAAGCCCCCCAACTCCAACATTCCTCTATCTCAGCTAGTCTTCTTTGTCTCAACAGCCCCATAGGAGTGCACTGTAATCCCTCTGGGGCGTGTCAAGCATCACTCTATCCCTTCTCTCTCGCTCCCTCTGTTCCTCTGTCTATTCTACTATCCAACTCCTGGGATTTAATCTTTCCTTCGCAGAGCTTTGGTCCTGTATTAACGCTCTAAATTGGGGCTTACAGTTCATCTACACCGGGTAATGCACAGCAATCAGGCCTACACTGATCCGGCCGGCCAGGCAGGGAAGCAGGCAGGCAAAGTCACACGCCGTATGCGGCTAAAGCCAGATGGCCATCAGCCCACGAATGCTCGGTCCCAGCCAGAGAGACACAGAACAGGAGAGAAGGGAAACAAAGAGAGGCGATACTGGGAGAAGGCTAAAGGAGACACAGCAAGTAGAAGTGAAGAAGTAGAAGCGAGGGCCTGCCCTGCATCCCGGACATATGGCCCATCACATGGTCGCAGCATGTTGGATAATCAACAGTAGGAGCCTTGAAAGCCCTCCCATCAAGCCTTCCGTCTCCTTCCCGTATTCTTCTCTGCTTCCTAACACAAGCCTCTAGTCTTCCCATCTCTTCCCTCTGGTCTTTACCACTCTTCTCTCTCCCTCCTGTGTTTATGCTTCCATCCATTACCTCTCAACCAAATATTTGTTTTGGCAGAGTGAAACTGTAGCTGATTTTTCCTTATTAACTTTTACTTCAGATGTACAACAATACCCAGCTCGACCCTCTGTACCAAGTTCATGAACACACACACTCACACACACACACACACAAACAGACTTACATCCATACATGCACCAACAGATGTGTAATGTATTAGCGAGAGATCCCAGGCTGGCTCTGAGACACACACAGACCTCAGTGTGAGTTTCTATGCGTGTGCTTCCTTTAATCAGCCAAGGTTTTAGCTCTGCTGTGGTTGCGAACCACAGTGCTACGTTATCCAGAGCCTTAGGGTCTATGTCTTTAATTTAGTAGCTGTGGCTGGGCAGAGTGTAACCTGATAAAACTCTTTTAAATGATAGAGTAGCCATCTGGTTGGCTGGCTTCGCAACATAGCTTGGGTCAGGGGAACGGACTGGTAGTGATGGAGCTGGTGGGTTGGTGGGTTGGCTGAGCCGATAGATGGTGGAAACAAGCAAAATTAAACACATTCGCTCTCTACAGAGCACACACGCATGCAATAACTGTACTTTCTGTGTTTATAGCAACTGTATCCATGTGTTTCTCTATTTCTGTCCATTGCATATACACGTATGCTCGGTTTTACATACTTGTCAGGGTTGTAGACACTGAGCTCCTCAAGAAACAGGCTCTCGTTGAGGAAGCCGTTGTTCATCTTGGCCAAGAATTTGAGGATGATGCCTTTCTCAGACCCCAGAAATACTACTGTGTGGTTTTTATACGGCCCTGCCTCATTGTCCACCACAATGCGCGTCAGACGATACCTGAAAAAGGAGCAGCAGGTAAAAATAACCAATCAGTCAATTAATTAGTCTGTTAGCCTGCAAGCAGAGGAAAATGTTTGCTCACTAGAAAAGCAACACCAACAGCAGGGACCTAATGCAACTGTTTTCAACTTTTTCTTCCACATCTGGGCCACTGGAAAAAGTTAGCCAAAGAACAAAATACCGTAGAATAAAAAAAACAGGAGGATGTCATTTTCCAGATAATAATTACCTAATCAGCCAATCAATTAACGTACCTTCCACCACGCATGTCAGAGGTCTAAAATAGACTAAAGAACAGCAGGGGGCGCGCATTAATCTCACTAACTGATTGTCATTTGATTACAAGCTCACAATCAGATTGCCATAGGGCCTGTCAGGTGGTTCCTCAAGTAAAAACACTGCAAAGAAGTTGCTCAAGCAAAAGATAACAAGCTCTACTTTCAATTTCTAATTGACAGCTGCTGATCGCACAGTTTGGCTTAGCACCAGTTGGATGTGCATAAAACTCAGAAGCATACCAAACACTTTAAGGTTGGAAAATTAGACACCTGCCAGTCAGTGAGATCTGGACCGGCGCCCTGTTATCCTTGTGGGTGAACGGGTTTTAGAAATGCCTCCTGAGGCTGTTTACTCTTACCGACTGATGCAAATATCTAACTAAGATACTGTTTAAGTAATCACAAAGGCATGCTGCCTATGTGAACACCAATAATCACCAATTATTTTTAATTGAAGCATATGTGATCTAAAGATGAGAGTGTATTCAGAAATCTTGGAAGTTTGTTTTGTCCTCGTTAATGTTTACTAGATACTGTCTAGGTGAAAAAGTTTGTCATCAGATCATATTTATTTGGGGGTAATGAGACTAAACTTAACCCTACTCGAGTACAGTTTTACACCATGAGCCCATTAAAAAAAATAATAAACAAAGCCACATCCTCTTATCCCATTCACTGTTTTTGTTTTCTTTATACAGTATATCCTTTGAAATGCTCTGTGCCTCCAGCTTTATCTAGTCAACATTACTACCGGTCTGAAGATTTAATTTGATTTTGATCTATTCATTCATAACAGATGCTCCAATAACCATTTCAATTAGGCTGATCCCAGTTAAATAATACAATCTCAAAGAATAAGACGTTCACTGTCTTTCCTACTCAAGATAATAAAAATCACAAGAAGGGGATTCTTCACTGTCTCACCCGTCTTGGTGATTCATTGTGCCCAGACAGCTGAGGTCTGTGCCACTGCACAGCAAGTCTCAAGCGGTCTCAAGATGGAAAAGATTTTTCAAATTTGAACTTCTTTCTGTGTATTGAGGTGTCCCCTCTGGGGTGTAACAAGGATCAAATCCTATTACCGATTTCATTTCCAATTGACTTCAGCTGAAGAACAGTATTCCACATTGAAACCCTGACAGATATCATAAGAAGCCTCACTCCTCTTCCACCGCATATGCTTTCATGCTGCTTTTTGGGCCTACATAATACTTTCAAGAACCGCCTCTGACTTCCCTACAAGCTCGCTGTGCTCGCTGTGATGACATTTCAAATCAAATCAAATCGTCTGATTGCTGATTATGTAAAGATAAAGAAAAAAAAGCGTGTCACTCATAATGTATTCTTGTGATAAAGCACACTAATGAACACAGAGTTGTAGGGATAACCTTGATGAAAGCTGTTCATATTCTGACTAAGCCACTGCAGTATGTAGGTCAGACCTCGGCAAAGGAGCAGCAAGATGTGATATGATGCAAATAACTTGTAAAACGTATGAAGAATTCTTTATGTAGCTATCTTTAAAGTGATATTACCACCACTGAGGCCTGTGAAGGATCTGGCAAGCCCAACTTTAAATCTTGATCCATATCCAAGTCCAAATGAAAAACTAGATCTTTTACTTTTTACCAAATGCTCTGTCAGCTACTTTTGCCCTGCCGATGGGATGGCGGTGTGCTGTCGCGTTCCCCCCAGAGGCTGAAATGTCTGTGTGTAGTGCAAGTAAAAGCCAGACAGACCTTTATGATCAAACGGCATCAGCCACAGTGCACTGGCTTTTGAGAAATGGGCTCAACTACAGAAACTCAAAGGAAAAGTCACCACTGAACAAAAAAAAATCAGTTTTTTTTTTTGTTTTTTCCCTGTGAAATCTCCCAAGAGGATTTTAAACAACTGACAAAGAGCTGAACTCATTGTTCTCGTGTAAATGACACGTTTCAGCATGAAGATAAGCATCACTAAGGATTCAAACTGTTTGCGTTGTCTTCATGACATCACCACGCTGTCACTCAGAGAGAAAGCTAGTATAGATAGGTGTTTCCTCTACTACAATGAAAATAGGTCAGTGGCTGGAGTACCTTCAGGCTTTCTTTTAATGAGCCTGATTCTCACAGCAGCACTTCATGTAATTATTGTCCTGGGCTGAAGAGGGTTGTAGCCTTGATGATGATGATGGCCTCTGGAGTGTGCGATACTTACCGAACCATGGTCTTGAGAAACCAGGGCCTGTTAGCAATGGAGGGTACGGCCTCGTCCATCAGAGGATGCATCTTGATGAAGTTGAGTGTGTCATCGGGGAACTCATTGGATACCTTATACCTCTCCATCGGTGGAGTACCAGCACAGTTGCCAGGCCTACAAATGGAGTGGAGGAAGAGCAAGGTAATGAAGAGGAGCGATAATGGCAGAGGGAAAAAAAATAGTGAATAGAATATGGAAAAAAGCACAAATGAAAAACCACCACTTTGACCGCAGTAGGAATGAGCCATTTTTCATGGTAAGAGCTTCAACGGAGGAAAGAAAGTTCTACTTTCTTAAAATCAATGAAAGTGCTGCTTTAAATGACTAAACTCTCATTCCAAGAGGCTTTTGGTCACATAGGAGGGCGCAAGATGTCTCCTTTTCTGTGGCTTCAGGCTAAAGCACTGAAGCATTGTATCTATCTGATCCTTTTACGGGGAGTTGGTGAGCTTCTTGTAAAAGTGAAGCTTCTTTTGATAGCATATCCCCTTTGCAGCCATCTCACCTCTGAGAGCCTTTAAAACCCTTTACTGCTTGGTCTTTGATACCCTGCCATAGCATATAATCCACAACAGATCCCAGAAATATTAGCCATCTGGCCACTAAATGTGTGACATGAAAAGACCAAACCCTATAGTCTGTTATAAAAATATACAAACCTTACTATGTGTATATGCACATGTTATTTTTAATTTATTAAATTAGAATTTTATTGACAGAATGATGCAGTGAAACCTTTGCTGATTTGTATGAAATAGAAATTCATTCGTGCTAATGAAATCCCCACGTTTACATGCAAAAACTTCACTGTATGGCATTCTGGTGCAAAACAAAAATTTGATTAGACAAGTGATCTCCATTATATGGCAGCTGTGTGCATCTAAAGCCATTAGACACGCATGTGAATTTACAACAAATTACCTTGTGGGCTGAACATGATTAGCAGAATTTTCTGTATTATATGGCGGCTGTGTGCATCTGAAGTCGTTTATAGCAAATTATCTCGGGTGCGCAAGATAATAACTTGAACACACCAGATATAAACATCAACTTACAGGACTTTAGGGAACACCATAGAAAACATGTCAGCTGATTCTAATGTTAAGCTATTCTCACAAGTATTACTGCTTCACTGTAAAAGAAGAGAATAATAGTTTGTGCTAGAATTCTAACATTTCTGTTACTGCATTTACGTCCGGGCGCATATGGGCAGCAGAACGAAAGCAGACATCTCTTAAATACGAAAATCTGTAAATGATTCAGTATGAGTGTCTAACACATGGAGTAACAGTCTGCTGCGGAGCCAGACCTAGGTGGCTTTGTTACAACTCTCCGTCTGTTTGCTCAGTGATAAAAGGTCTGAAAGAACCAAGGGATGGAAATGAAATCAATCACATCAGTTACTACAAAAACAATGGTGGCTGTACCTGCCCTTTGAAGCGTCTGACCTTGTTGAACATAAACAAGTAATTACATGCTAATTGAGGTAAGTGCGTGAACTCACACAGATACGCACATTCACACAATGCATGGAGATTAATGCACAAAATACAGTACGGGCTCTCTGATGGTGAGGAACTGTGTCCTCAGCCATATGGGACACACACACACACACACACACACACACACATTTATCACGGCCCAGATCTTTGTTGCAAATCTCTCTCTCTCTCTTTTCTGGAGGAAAGGACAGCATCCTGTTAGTGCACTAATTAGTTTGCAATAGATGGGAGATTGATCAGGTTGGTACATTTGTGGAATTAGCCAGCCATCTGTAAAATGATGTTATGCTTCGTTTATTGAAGCTAAATTAGCTGCGTGTGAGGCGTGGGTGGCAGCGGTAAGGTGAGGTAATGGGATATGAGTGCAACTGTGAAAAAAGGTGGTCTCTACATGAGTAGGCGCGTGCTGCGTGTGACACAATTTGACACATGATGAGCGTTTTCTGACGAAATTAGCGATGCACTAAAATATGAGGCAACATGAGTTAAGAATAAGTGATTATTATCACATTGTGGTATAACAAGTGTTAGGAATTGACTGCATAGTTACATATCTTGTCTGTGCGTGCACGTGTGAGACAGCCAGGAATGAGGAGAAACACAGGAAGAGAAACACTCTGTGACTGGTGTGTGTGCTGCCTTAAATCCTGTGCGTGCCTGCGTGTATGCAAGTGTGCTCGCTGGTTAATTAACTGCTGCTGTACCTTGGCTTGGGAACCTTCTCTTCAGGAAAAGGTGTCCAGGTGGAGTCTGGTGATTTCTGTTCTTTGAAACGCCCTGTGAACGTGTTGGCCACCTCCGCCATGTCATAGGCACACACTGCCGAACCTGGAATACTGCGACGGCACACACAAGCACACACAACTAAATAAACAATCCTCTTGACTGAGCATATCAAAGAAACACCTTGCTATCACCAGGAGACAGAAAAATGGATTTACAATCCCTTCTCAGAAGGGTTAAATCCCTTGAGGATGGCTTATTTTAGCTGTTGCCTGTTTACACTGGGTGATACAGTCAAGTTTTGAGTGTTGTGAAGGTTCTGCCAGATTAAAAAAAAAAAAAAGAGGCGCGTTGTTTATCCTCACTTCCCTTAGGTATACAAGAAGACACTTTACACTTTCCTCTATTTTTTAACATAATTTGATCAATTTTTTTCATTAATAAAAGCATTTATTTCTTTTGTTCTCTACTGATCACCATGTCAGAGCTTTCGTGCATTCACTTATGTGTTATTGAATGTAGTGATTTACGGGTTCACACATTCCCGTACAGTAACCTCTAACACTGACTTTCCCCGAAAGCCTCCAGGCATCAAAGTTCATCACCAGTCCACGCTTGGGGCCAAATATGGGCAACAGATTATCTTATTATCACTTTTCATTTTAAGGGGAAAAATACCCATCTTATGATTGCAGTGGAGCCACTGATTTCTTTGTGTCTGTGTGAAATCAATGCATAGCAGATTACTGAGTCACTTTTCTATTTTTTATGCTTTTTTTGTGTCCAGAAATAAAAACTAAGGGCTGTTTACAGAAAGAAACCTCTCTTTCTCTCTCAGCTTGCTGGATTTCCATGCTGTTACATCATGGGTTAAACTCATCATGTAGACATTTGGAAGACAGCAGACACAAGGGTAGCATTATTGAGAGCAAGGTCAGAAAGCTGTTAATTCTTGGCTTAGCTACTAAATTACAGTAATTACCCTCTGCATTGAATATGTACAAAAAGTTAGACAGTCGTATGTCTGTTTATATCGGGCTGCTAACGAGACAGAATTAGCTGGCCGGTTAGCAAAAGTCTGGGCCGTGAAGCAACTCAGCAAGACAATCGAATGACACAAAACCCTGAGTGCTGCCTACTGTCTGAATGTGCTCCCTTCACCCCCTATGAAATGGAAAATTAATGCTAGGATCAAAACTCCCGCTTATAGAAATTTTCAGAGGCACTGCTTCATTGGGTTTTAATGTCCATTAACCATGCTCAATTGCGTTGTCACAAGCAATTGTCTTATCTGCTAAAAAGCAGCCATAAAATGGAAAATTACAATATGTGTGAGCTATCAGCCAAGCTGTATGGCTTTGTGGTAATTTTCAATTTAGATAAAAACTCCCACTGACTGCGAACATGAAAGTCGTGCAGAATATGAATTATAAGAGGGAAAATAAGATTAAGCACCTGCATGTCAAAAGGGCAACAACACTGTTTTGACAGAAGATGTGAATGTTGACCCACTGGGTTTAGAAATTACACGCCACCAAGAGGCACAGCAGGGACACACGCTACCAACGTTAACAAAGGTCAGACTGTCAAAGTGTTGATGAATTTCAAAATGTCTTTCAAACTGAGAAAGATAATCGGTTTAATAAAGGGAAAGTTCATGTGCTGGTGCATGTGAATTTATCTGAGATGCTGGGAAACGCTGGAAAAAATACCCTCAGCAAAACCAGTTTATTGCTCACTTTTCCCTGCTTGTTTACTTTTACCTTCTGTCGTCATTACCTGTTGTAAGGCGTGGAGAAAGTTGCCATCACTACATCCCTCCCATTGATGTGAATGACATCGGTCACAGCCTGCAGGATGTTGAAGTAGAAATGGGAGTCGCCAGGGATGGAGCAGTTCAGGCGAGACTTTAAAAACGAGGTCCACTGCTTCTCCAGAACACGCGGCGATCCGCCTCGGTCGTTCTTACAAACCCTCGCCACCCGTGGAAACACCACCTGAAGAAGTCAAACGTGGGTTATATTTAAGAAGCTTAAGATTTCACCTTGAGATTTCTACAGTCACACATTTCACATCGATAATCTTATTGCTATAAGGCCTTTTTGAATGGGAGAAATTGTAGGTACACCACGATGTGTTAATCTAGGGTTTCGTCACGTTATAGCAAATTAAAGACAGAAGAAAAGTGGTGCATTTGATATGCTGTTAAACAGTCAGCACCTGGCAACAGAAAGTTTAAAGTATACGGCTTCAAATAGGCCCGAGCTCTGTAATTACAACTCTGTCGTAAGTTCACGTAGCCAGAATTGTAATTAGTTGTTGTGACACTATACTTAACAGCTATAAATCTTGCCCTGAACTGAAATTGATGGTGTGAATGGGAACAACCATGCATTTAAAACAGATCCCTACTCACACACCCACAGACAACCACACACACACCCTCACTCTTGCAAACACACCACGACCCTCCGCTTTCCCATTGAACCATGCACAAATATGAATTAAGCAATGCAGCAATTCCAGCTAAGACTCTAGAACCTGCACAGGCCCGTTCAGTGTGAAATTTTAGATTACTGAGATTACACAGTGTATCAGTGGGTCACATTTCTGCACTCGCTAATCTGTGAGCGACTTGGACGCAACTCAATACACGCATATACATAAATGGTCCAAATATACACATCGCTTCGCCAAACAAACGCCTTAGTGGAGGCTTTTTAATTCACTTGTGCACTGAAAGGTTTATCCTTTTGTATTTTCTAGATAACAATGTAACAACCCGACATTAAACCTAAAGCAAACAACTTGCCACAGCGGATTTATCAGTTTGCCATAAAGCACAGACGACTGTTTACATTGTCAGGGTAGGCCAGTCTTTTTCGTAATAATAAAGAGATATCAATTCACTAAATGTTAAATTGCTCTCTGCGCCATCAGTTCTACCACCACATACATAATTATACTGACACTGCTTTCAAAACACCCGGCAGATTGAGAGGCCTGATCTGTATTCATGCTCTGCAATAACACATGGCTGTCACTTCTGGCAGTGAATCCATTATTTCTATGTTACCTCCGCTCTGTTCTCATCTCGTCCCCTCTGTCTTTCTCACTCTCTCTTATGTGTTTTCTTTCATTTATTCTGCACAATATAAAAAGAGTGATTCATTTGCATAATGTATTTTCTTCTACCTGGTGTCCAATTAAACTTTTGCAGGACAGGGCCCAAACCTGGAATGAAGAGATTAATAGAAACGTTTCTGTCCCTATGGTGTAATACCTGAGAAAAGCTTGGGTTTTTTTCCCGTCTTCTTCTGATACTTTGTCTCACTTCTAAGAGACACTTGGGCGGTTTTTCTCATGGGAAACACTGAGAGGGTAGGCCAAATGGGAGCAAAGCAGGATGGATGCGGACGTGCAATTCAAGTAATATATTTAGACTTCAAAATGGGATCTCAAGACATCCATATATTTTCTTTTTGAACCTATTTTAGGTGCTGTTTCCTGCCTAGTGTTTATCTGTTGCTGGAAAAGGGTTTGTCCACTTTACTGCTCCTAAAAGCCTCCTTCCCGTTATGCGTTACCCATATCCTGTTAGTTTCCTCGGGCGCTTCCTGATTCTCCCTGTAAATAGGAAGTCACCTCTGATTATAGTTTAAAACAATAGTGTATGTGCTTACCTTTCCCATTGTATTGTACTCCATAGCAATTTCCCTAAAGAAGAAATAAATGAAGTCTCCATAATTGACTGCCTGGACAAAGTAGGGCTCTGCGAAGGGAAAAAGAAAAACTATTATGAGTCAAAGAAGCATTTTTGCTGTGACAAAACAGTTCTGACACCATATTTCACAGTAAACCGCCAGAATATCTGTCATATTATGCAGAAAGGTAGCGACTGCGAGCCTTGAGAGCCTCAAACTATCATCCATCATATTAGCAAAACAATTCACATGCGAGAAAAGGCGGATTTCTCTATTGAGTTTTGACAGACTGGACTTGTGCTTGTTTCTCCCCAGGGCAGAGTAATTTCAACACTACTTGTGCAGGCTGGCAACATGACTGCATCAAACAGAGCATGTAGCATAAATGCTCCAGCTCTTCAAAACCGTCATTCATACACAGAGGGACAAACACATGTTTGCACATGAATCATAAAATACAAACACGTGGTCAAGCATGCATGTCCGAACCCTAGGTTTTTTTTTCTAACTTGTCAGTCAGCCTGGCACTTTCCGACCACAGGGACTGTGTTTGTGTCCCCCACTCACCTTTCAGCCATTTGGAGTCATGTTTGACAGTGCGCAGAGTCGGGCTGTCTCCAAGGCTACGATAGATGACCGCATCGATCGCTAGAAAGTCTGTAACGGTGGCCGAGTACAGCTTGCCATCTGGTGAGCGAACACAGAGGGAGAAAGGGCAATAAGGAGGAAAGATGTAGACGAAGAGGGAGGAGGATGGACAAAAAGCGAAAGACACAGAGAGACATAAAGGAAAAGAAAAAAAGGTGAAGAGAGTAAAGTTAATCAAGACAGAAATGCATGAAGCCACCCAGAGATTCCTGCTCCCTGTGGTGAGATACACAAACATGTTTCAGATGATTCAGACCTGGAAAATGAATGAATCACACAACCAGAAGGCACTCTTTGATGGACAACAAACAGGCTGTACGCACTTAAACATTTGTAATTGGCCAATCTTGCAAACACTCTCCAAAAGCACAAACACTGTAGCCCTGCACTCGCATACAGTCTTCGAGCACCACAGAAAGCCAAAGTCGCACGCTTACATGCACATACATACACACACATACACACATACTCTTCACAAACACAATCCACCGCTAGCATGACCTCAGCCTGCCTCAGCTATAACCACAGTGGAAACTCAAACTACATAATTGAAAGGATAGCAGTCAGAGGAACCCTGTTGATTACTCAGTGCTTCCAGCTTCTTCCAAGCAGCTCTGCTACACATTAACTGGTCAAGCCAGGCATTTACTCTTGTCCTCTACTTTAAACCGGCAGGGACAGATCATCAATACTGCCATAAATCGCTTCACAGCAAATGTGTATAGGGACTGGATGTCTTTAGCAGCCCGTGGGTTCATTGCACCAGAAGAATCTCACCACGCCGACGGAAAGATGACTCATTCTGGTCACATCCATGTGTGACTTATGTTAATCTTGAGCATTTTGAATGGAAGTGAATGAGAGACAAAGAGAATCACAGAAAAGTACAATAGAAGGCGCAGACAGATGAATCTGTTACCACAGTACTATTAAAGTGTTTCCAAAAGGCTCCAATAAGAAGAGCAATGTAGCGCCAAATCGAATGACTTGCTCTAGTGCATGTAACATAGATTGGCTTTCTTTTTTGACATGTCAGAGTATTGCCATTAGAGTAAACCGCAGGGTATTAAGAAGAATATTAAATACAACTGCAACTAATCCCTCACTCAAATACACTCAACTTTCCCATCTAGCTCAAACTGTTCCCAGCTAAGTAACTGTAGATAGGAGAAAATTGGGATTAATGTTTTTGCCTCATGGCATCGAATGAAGAGTAGAAATATCACATAAACTATTTTAACCTTATGGAAATTTGGGTTTCTTTCATTTTAACCCAAAGGACAGTGACTGAAGTTTAAAAATTACAGTGATGTTAAATGCATTACAGATCGCTTTCAGTTTAGCATGCGCAGAAATGTTTAATCTTACCAGCAAAGAGGGCAACGTTGGCGTGCTTGGCATCATACGGACAGCGCGCCATTCCACTGATCTCCTCTCCCTGAGCCTCCAAGGTGTCAATCTAAGGTCAGGAATGAGATGAAAGGTCAAGAGGGGGTCAAAGCAAAGTGGTGTGCGGTGTCAAACAAAACAATGTACTTGAAAAAAACTTAGGAAGTCTTGGTTCCCAGTTGGAGGTAAAACTCTAGCAGAGGAAATGTGTCAAAATGTCAAGACAATCAAAAACTATAGGCAGCACTTAAAAAGTGTTGAAGTGTGAGTCATAATAAAATAGCCCTCAAAAAGCAGCCCGAGAGTGTATCAATCTAACTAATATCACTTGTATGCCATTCTGGTGTCCTGCTGAGGGCTGCCAAAGCAACTGGGAAAATCTCAAAACTGTCATGGAGGGTGGAAAAAAAGACATTTCCGCAGCAACACATTTCACAGTAGTGGTTTGCTTCCCCTGTCATCCTTTATCCTTCAGCTGTACTCATTTTAAAGAAGCGTTATAATGACCCTCAAGACCGATCTTCAGCCCATTTACAGCACCGCTTTTCCCTGTCCTGATTTCTAAAGCTTGCGCTTTTGTTCTGAAGAGAGGAAAAATAAATTAGCACACAGCCCTGAGCTGGGAATGTGAGAATTTTTCACAAAACCAGAGTACGGCTGCCGTTTTTTAAGTCGTATTTTGCAGCACAAACTTTTTCATGTGCTAAGAGCTTTTCCTTGGGCAATGCTTACCTCCTGATTTTGTATATTTCATAAGACATACTAATTTTAATTCTGCCCCTAGACAATCTGAAAGTTGTCTTTTCTCAGCATTGTGAGTTAAGTAATTCAATTTTGTTATTCAGTCACTCAGCAGTCTCGTTTCTTAGAACTATTTCGAGCCATTGTTCATTGTTTAAAAAGTGCTAGTTTGGGCCTCCTTAGCGCGTTGATCACTGTGAACTGGAGTCCAGTCCAGTTTGGTTACAGTGCAATTGGCAGAGCATGGCAGAAAATCAGATGTGGGTGAGAGGTCACTATCATCTCACCGTGGGTAGGCTTGTCTTCCCCAGCATGCCTCAGGACACTCTCTATGGCTTAAGCTCAGGGAAACACACACATGCACACAGAGGACAGGCTGCGCTGCGCTGACCAGAAGCTGAGGTCAAAGAAGATTACAATACACCCACTTACCCAACAGTTCACAAATACATAGTCATTTTTCTTCTCTATCGCTGCTTCTATCTATCCCATACTCTTCTTCCTTGCTTCCCTTGCTCTCGACAAAGAGGTCCGTAGCTTGCCAAGGCTGCAAACTGCTTACGCCGCCCTTTCTGGTTTCTAAACAGGTCATTTTGTTTTCTATTCCTGTCTCGGCGGAAACGGTTATCATCTGCCCACTAAAAAGGTCACACACACACACACACACACTCCGGCGCAACGCTAAAAAAGCTTGCCAGAGAAATTGTTGAGGCTGATTTGGCAGAGAATATTACAAGTGACCTTTTACAACAAACACAGAGCCACCAGCGGCAGTGTATTTCTCGATTTCTCATTCCTTCTGTTTCTCCAGAAATTGTGGAAGGACAATATATGGAAGCAAGCTGGACATATATTGTTATTAGATTGGGGGGAGGGGGCTGTAATTATAGATTAGACTGAGTTAATCATAAGAGACGTGAGTAGCTGAAGGTCATGGGTGTCTACTGAATCACAGCGTCTGTGTGTACAGAGTGACATGGGAACTTAGTTAAGCTTGAAACGTCAGCAGCTTCTGTGTCAGCTACCTAACACAAACGCTCCCTCCTTCTCTGACACATCACAAATGCACACTCACATACTCTCATACCAAAGGAGCAACCCCCAGCACTCCATCTCCTCCGCTGGATTTCACCAAGGTAGTGACCTTTGTCTACTGGGTTTGGCCGGCTGTCATTAATCTATTCCTGCCGTTTGAACAGGGGAAGACACTCCCAACCCAGCCGCAGATAGCGCATGGCTTCAGTCTCCTGTCAAGTTTGCATGTGAAGAGAAACAACAGCCGACTTCCATGCCGTTGTCTAAAGCAATAACCAGTGTTTTTTTTTGAAAGGGCAAAAGAAATCTATAAAGCAGCCACACTAAACCACAATGTTTTTTTAAACGCTACCATGAAGAAATTTGATGTCTAAGCGGCAAGATGGATTCTTATTCCTTTACCTTGTTTACCCGGAAAATGTTATTATACTGTCAACTCCACTTGCTGCAAAAAAGAAAGAAGTGCTTCAACTTAGTGGGAGCACAATTCAAAGTAATTTGAACAGTGGCGCTGTCACACTTTGTCAGGCCCGCCTTAAAAGCGCACTGATCTATAGGGATCTACTGTAGCTTAGCAGAAGAATGTACAGCAACCTTGGCTGCGAGCGCAGTGCATCTAGATGAATTAATTACTACAACAGCGCATTGGTGTTTTCCATAGGCTATATGCTAATTAATTAGACAAATACAATGTAGATCCAAAACATGCCCATCAGGAGTGTTTTAATTGGTTCAGCATCAGCACCAGTATTCGGGGGGTGAGGGACATGTTCTGATTCCATGTCTCTGTTGTTTTTATGAGGACGCTTTTATGGGCTTTATTTATCATTGCTGAGGGATTTGTGAAATCTTACTGAGGACAAACATGGGGTAAACTGAACCGGCGTCCCACTTATGAAGTGTTTGCTCGGAACAGCTTCCTTGAAATATCCCAGACTTGTTTATTTAATAGAATAAGCACAGTAAAGGGCATATTTACTGAGACATATCCATTTGCAAAACTGCGCTTCCAAAATAATGCATGACTTAGGCACCTCATGAAAGGCCAGCCACTGTCAGACTATACTGGCACTGGCATACTGATACATTTTTACATGGTGACCTAAAGTCAGTAGTAGCACGCTTTTAGACCCAGAAAATTTATTTGTATGCCATCCATACACCTGCAACAACCTTCCACATCTATAAAGGTCAAGTGTACAAGTTCACACCTGGACCAGGAGCAGTTGTATAAACCAAACAAGGACATATCTCCTGGGGAGATTAATAGTCATGGCCCATTTCTCTTCAACCTGTTTCTGAGCAGTGGGAGGGTGAAAACTTTCCCCAACCACCTTTTACACCAGAGCAGGAAATTTAAGGAATTTAAGCAGCTGCTGAAAGAGATACGTGTTTAGTTTGTTTTATGGGGGAAATAAAATATATATATAAACTAAAATTACTGATCTTTTTGAATACACTTTGCTGAAGAATCACTACACAGATATAACAATTGCTTTTGTTAATTATGTGTGGTTACTATTGAAGAGTTATTCATTAATTAATGAATGCTTTTGCAGTGTATTAAATTTGTATTGTCTTTTATTACGTGTCAGTCAGACAGCCTCTGGAAAAGCTGCAGCAAAAAATGGCATGCATGGAAGCATTTTCACCTCGTCGTTTCAAATGCAAAGAAGAAGAGATGAAATTTCCCAGTACACCTCGGTTAGCCGGTATCAGGTCTAAGACGCATCACCTGGGAGTCACTGCCTCCAAGACTCCCCACTGATTCCCACTGCTTCCCCCTGCTTCACCCGGCAACAGGCGATGAAACTGACTCCAGTCATATATCAGCCCAGCTGGACGGAGTGTTTATTATTACAACACAGCAAGGGAGTGACAGAGGGAGAAAGCAACAGAGGGAAAGATGGCGGAGTGGTGGGAGAAGTGGAGGGGGGGGATTAAGGCTGGCGGGAGAAGAGGAGAGGTAGGAGGGAGGATGAATAGAAGAAAAAAGGGAGTTGGGTGCTGTGTGGTGCTAAGGGAGAGGGCTGTGCCATGCTGCCGAGGTGTCTGCCTGTGTTTTTTCTATATGAATGCATCTGTGACAGTGCATGTTTTTTTTTTTAATGTTGACACCACCAATTGAAGAAGCAGCTAATAAAGAGAGAAAATTGGTAGGTTTGTTTAAAAAAACATAAATGTCAGAAACTCAAAGTCAGGTAAAATCAGAGGTAACCAGGCAGGGGGTTGATGGAAAAAACAACACAAAAACCAACATGAGGTGTTGCTGGTTTGGGCGGTTGCCCTCCCTGCCCCCTCTGTCTCCCTCCTCTGTCTTCCGCCACCTTTTCTCCCCTTCCATGCCTCCCTTTCCCTCCTGCTTGCCCTCGCAGCGCTGTTGATTAATGTGGGATGAGGCTGGCCCCGAAACAGAAGCTCTTTTCAGTGCTGTCACACTGGGGAGATGGAGAGGCAAACTGTGGCCAAGGTGGATTTAACCACAAGCACATATACGCACACACAAACACACACAAATACACTTCTGACCAAGCGAAGTGGATGAGCCCAGCACGCCATCAAAGGTCTGGTATCTGCCCAGAGAGTTTGCCAGCCTGCCAGCAGTACAGTGTGTGTGTGTGTGTGTGTGTGTGAGAGAGAGAGATGCCTATTTTAAAATGTACACAGTTCACAGTCAGTGTTTGCATGGGTGCACATTTTCTTGTATATGTGTTTCGTGTGGATTTGTATTTTTGCGCCCATAATCGGTCATATTTCTTGCATTTTAAAAGGTGTCAAGACTTTCTTGTAATGATTTTGGTAATAACTCAGTTGTTTCCTGGCTAAAACAGCTATTTTATTCAACTAAACATGAGTGTTTTAGTAGGTGTGGAAGGGCAGTTGCAAACACATAAATTCACTTGGGTAAGGTAGGGCAGGGACTGAGCAAATACGAAACATGAATTTTAATGATCGGTGTTCTTTAAAGAACAATAGTTGCCTTTTTTATCATACCGTTATTGACTGAAGTTTGACTTTTAACATAAGTGATCAATAAAAAGCATCATTTTTATACCACAGGTGCATATAAGGCTGTGTGTAAATGTGGAGTTCTTTTACCAAACCTCACACTGATGTACAACACTTCCCCTCCCTTCCCATTAACTTCAGCCGACTAGCAGCGACATCAGTGCAGCAACAGCTAAAACACAAACCTTGAAACCATAACCGGAGGCGCTATAAAAGCTAACCATGCCTGATAAATGCAGAGACATAAATTCCACTTTCCCTATTGGAGGAGTCAGTGAATTGAAAGACGTCCACTTTGTGTGCTTAGCATGCTGAACCACAAAGGCAGTGGAGCGAAGAGGTCTTGCTTTTCTGGTAAGCAGATCTGCTGAACCAAAGCAGGGGCGTTTTCCCCACAGGCCACCTAGATAACATCTCTGTGTGCTTTGACCATCACAACACATCCTTATAAACCACAGAACAACACCCTTCAGGACAGGACTGCTACTAAGTCTCCCTGTCCTTTTGTCTCTATTACTGTCTGCATGTCTATCCGACTGTCCCACTGTCCCACATTTTTCCTTTTCTGTAAGGTGTCCTTCATACTGGGTCTGTCCGGACAGCAGTGCATAGTATTTGTACAGTATTACTATGATTAAACCTCTGATACTGATCTTTGGTTGGTTTCCAGAAGATTTGTCATAGAGTATGCTAAAAAAAAAATTAGACAAATACCAATTAAAACTTTAATATTTTCCAATATTTTCAACTATTGCTTAGCAAACTTAGTAGGTCAGCCAAGCTGAACGAACTAAGACTATAATGGCAATTATGTTCACTTTTTCACACTGGAGCATCAGAAACATCAGATTTATGTCGACAGCAAATAAAAAAGGTTCAATTTGAACACAGCCCATCTGCTTTTAACGTTTGTTCATCTGCTTCCACGTATGCCAAACTTTAATCATCTCTCTGCATCTGCTTTTTTATTGGCATCTCTATTTTGGTGCACTAAGTCAATCTTAATGTGTACCTGTGCTCTCCTTAGTGACTCATAGGAAATAAAATGCACCATTTCTTTTCGTGGTTTTACTTTTCCTGAAGGAATCTTGAAGCTATTCCATAAATTGAATATGGCCGGAAATATGTTTTCAGGAAAAGGTTAAAACAGATCTGGCAATGTGCGAGCATGCATGAAAGCAGGTGAGATTGAGTAGTTTTCTCTGCTTCTGAACTGAGTTTGTCAAAGTACACCTGGAGGTAAAGGCACAGGAGGACGGCCTGCTGAGTTGTGAAAGTCATCCATCTATGTCCGTGGCTCCATAGCCCACCCCCTCTAAACTCTCACATGGCTGGGGTCAAAAATCCTATAAGTGTGTGTTATGTGCGTGTGTGTGTGAAAGAGCAAAAAAAAAAGAGCAAAATGATAGATGTGAAAAATGTCACTGAGATAAAACAAAAGTGGGCAAGAGCACCAAAATAGTCATTCGTGTGTGTGTGTGTGTTTTCCTACCTTGTAGGTCCGACAGGAGGGGTTGAAAGCATTTGTTCCACAAACAAATAAGGTGTCTTCATTTTGCTGCAGAAGGACTTTGATGAAATTGTGACACTCATCCTTCGGGGAGAGCAGGGCAGGAAAAAAAGAAAGAGAAAAAGAAGAAAGGAAGTCCATGGTGACATCTGTATCTGTAGCCACATGTGGGCTGTTATTTTTTTGCTTTTCTGTCTTTTGAAGTGCAGCATGTGGCACGCGGTGAGCAGGGAGAGGCATATGTAACAAACACAGTATCGTGACATGCATTTGATCACGGCACATAAAGGCAAATCCGCAGGAGATTTTAATGTGCCATTTAACGTCCTCTCAAACAATAATGAAAGTGTTATTAAGTTCAGGAAAAAAATAAAGTTATACAACCACGAGATATGAAGATTCCCACTGATATGCTCTATAAATTCTGACAGCAGAAGGTTATATGAACTGCAAGAAGTGTGTTATTGCACCTTCAGGATCTTGTGTCTTTAAAATGTGTGTTAAGAGTGTCTGTGTGTGTGAGGGAGAGAGAGAGAGCAAGACAATGAAACAGAGACTGTGCGCAATTACATCAGTTACAGGTTGTCTGCCATGCACAGTGTGTGACTGACAAAAAAAATTGGAAAAACTCGAGTGACGTTTGCTCTACAAATGATGTTGTAGTGTGTGTTTTCCTTACCTTATGCTTCCCTTTCATTCTGCAAGTGTCCACATCTCCCTGTCTGGACTTCCATGTCATTTTCTGTAGAAAAAGATGGAAGTTTAACTGAAGCTAAAGAGAAAAATAGCGAGTCACAAAGAAAGCAGGCTAAACAGTGAGGTGGGAGGAGGAAAAAACAGACAGCATTATGGAGCTCAATAACCCATCTATATTAAGATCAATAATCATCATTTGAGATTCTACATCATTGATTTCTCTCATGGGGCACCTGCTCTGAGGCAAACTTTATTCTAAGTTTTTTTGGAGATCATTTTACCTCCTTGAACATCGAATTTTCTGCCAGAGGGAAGGAAATACAATACTGACCCCGGATCAGAACAGACTGTCCAAGGACAGATCCGTGGACAAATCTGTGGATTAATAGGCTTGCCATCCTTGCGTGTGCACATACATACACACACACACACACACACGCACTGCCTTGACCTGTGGATCAGCCCTCTTTTACTTGTCACTGGACTACAAACAGAAATACAGGTAATTATACTTAAGTTATAGCCATGCACACAAACGTACACACACACATACACACCACGTGTGTCCCTGGCCTGTGTCACCTGAGGGTCAGCTCCCAGCCGCAGGTTCAGACCACTATGTACCTGCCGCTGTTGTACAACATGTTTGGAGCTCAGCCACTGATTAAAGACCCTCAGTCATCAATCAATCTGCGCGTCTCCCACCAGCCTTTCATCTGCAGCCTGCTCTCATTAAGACCCACTTGCCAGGCTCTGACATTGAAGTGGATGAGGTGGAGGGATTGCTGGTTGTTGCATACACGAGAATGGCCTTGTCTGAATTCTGTTTGCATGCATTATGTTTAGGGCATGCGATGCCAGCAAAGAGTGGTTGAAATGGAATAAAGAGTGGGTTATTACAGTCGAGGCCCTATGTAAATATGAGGCCCCTTTTTGGAATAATTTGAAACTATACAATGGGATCTTCTTCACCTCTGCATCCATATTGTCTTTCTTCTGCTACTCATCTAACCTTTGCTTTCGCTCTCCATTTCCTGCTCCTCCCCCCTTCTCCTTCCTCCCTCTCGCTCTTCTTCCGCTGTCCCCTCAGCTTCCGTTACGCACCCATCAGACCTCTAGCTGTCCCACTGATGAGCGTGGATGACGCAAGCTAGCTGATTGATTAAATAATCTTCTTAACAGGGTCACCATTGCGAACGCGCCAGGTCCAATCGGTGAGCGGGTGAGTAAGACTGCTGGCAGGCACACAAATGCACCCACATGCACATACGTACACACTGTTGCAGTCAGAGTGAGGTTACGCTGTCAATCACGCAGAGAACAACACATCCTCAAAGAGGCAGACGTCTCACTCACCTTACTGAAAAATATCTCTTCACTGTTGGCAGTGTCTGTGTCCACTGTGTATATATGATCCCTGCAAGTGATTGAGGGAAAGCGAGTGAGGAAGGGAGAAAGAGATTGGGAGAAAGAAGAGGGAGAGATGAGAAGAGGTCAGACAGCAGCAGACAGTCAAAATTCAACAAACAATAAACCCATTTCTTTTCTTCCCTCTCTGTTTTCCCCCTGCAGGCAGCAAACAGCGTCAGAAAATGGGGCTTTGTATAAACTTTGTTCAAACTTCAAAAAATGACAATAAACAAAAGGAGGCCAGATCTATTTGCTCTGTCAGACAGAAACAGTCAACAAAGGTTCGGAGCGCTGTGGCGCAGGCCTGGGGACAAAAGCCTCTTTGTCCCAGAGAAAGGTCTTGGTGGGGGGTGAGGGAGGAGGGAAGGCTTGAGACGGGAGGTGCCAAGTCACTCAGAGCTGTTCAGGTCAATTAAGCCTAGTGTTTGAGCCACAGGAAATCTATACTAACACTCATTATAGCTCAGACAAGAAGACTTATGTGTGTTGGCCTGGAAATATACAAGCTTCTCCTGCGTTACACAGTCCAGCCATAAAGGCCCCAGCAGGGCATATGGAAGACATAAAAATCACAAGGGTTAACTACATCTCAGACAGACAGACAAGGCTAGTTGACCAGCCATGCCGCTACACCTTCTTACCATGGAGAATTGGGGTGCGGACATGGAGAGGGAGGATACAATGGTGTAGAGGTGGGAGGTAGAAGGTGTAGAGGTGGCATGAACGGAAGAGTCAGAAAGAAAAGCTTTCTTTTGAGGAGAGAACCGTGGTGACCGTGCCAAACGATGTAACCGCTTTAATTTGTTGAAGATTAGCTGTTGAACGTGTTTTTAATCAAAGTGTGTAACAGTGGCATCATCTGACTCACGGCTTAATTATATTCCAGCTCCCCAACCTGCGCTTAGCCAGCCTGCCTGCCTTGCTCTCTCATTAACTAAATCTAATAAAGTCTTTGGAGGAACAGGCATCTTGAAATGAATCCACTTATATCGCTTTCCTGGGGGCCACCTCAGTCTCATCGAGGATAAAACCCAGTCTACTGTACATTATCAGCCACAATTCTTAAATTGAATAATTAATCTTTAAGAGTGGTTGAAATTAGGAAAACATTTCAGCTTTCATCACATTTCCAGAGAGGCCGGGGGCTAAATACCTGTTTTTTCTGTCGGTTTAACTTCTGAAATTTCTCAAAGAAACTGTAAAATACATCATATGAATCTTTTTTTCATTTCTCCACACTGAGGCTGTTTATGGTTTCTATAGTAACTGTCCACTGATCAGACCTATCAGTATAAAAAAAATATACATAATCAATATCATCACTGTCATGTAAAGCACAAAAATTCCTTTAGCAAATTGCCATTTACCATTTAAAAACAAAAAATGTCACGCGTTTTTCATCCCTTCTCAAACTAATTTTCCACAACAGCGCACTCAAAAGTCCATTTTTATGGACAATACTGACTAATTTCAAAGTTGGCATGTGGATTACCTCTTATAACTAAATGTTTGTGATTATTGCTTTCAGCTGAAATAAAAAGAAAACCCTTTTCATGAAAAAAGCCAAGAGCAAAGTCAGCTTTAGGTCACTCAGATTCATCCCGCGGCCTTCCTTCCAAGTTCCTTTGCTCAAGCAAATGCCAGATGCTGACTGTCGCTGTGCAGTCTGCCATGATTAAAAACTGAGCAACAACAAGTTACAGGTTGTTGCGGCTCAGGCCAAAACCACAATCTCCCCTCCAAAATGTTTTTCATTAGGCCTAACTGGTTCCGCTGCCATTGAGCTGCTCTGTGCTAATTGTTCTGGACTGATTTTCCCAGGTCAGTCTGTCTTGCCTTTTTCAGTATCCCTTTCACTGCAGTCAGAATTACATGTTCTAGAGTAAATGTGAATATTTAAAAAGCTGGCTTATAAAAATCAGCACCACTACATTTAAAATAGTGGAAAAACAGAGACACATTTAAATGGAGATGAAACACACGAGGTGATAAAAACGGTGGACGATGATCACTAAAATGTTCTGATTTGTCTCCTTAAGTTCAGCAAGTTAACTTGTTTTATCTTTATATTAAAATTCAAACTTCATACTGAAAAAGACCTAAATAAATCAAAAGCTATTAAATCAAAGGATTACTTAGCGGATTTATTGCAATCCCCTGGGTTATTTTACTGTCTGCAAATTTAAAGCAGTTCACGAGCAATCTGTAATTGACTTCTCCATAATTTTCAGTAGTAACCATCCCAGCGATTCTCCCTGACTTGTGCCTCTCTTATCCCGGTGCTGACAAAGTCCTCTGGGCTGAGGCCTTCCCGCCGCAGGTTTCTGGTTCCAGCAGAGATTAGAGCGAGCCAAGCGATGAGGCGTTCCTCAAACATACTGACTGGAGATGGGGGAGTACAATGGAGCGGCTGTGTCTGTGTCAACACCAGCTTTCCAAACACACACACACACGTGCACAACCCCCCCACCCCCGAGTCTTTACCCCAACAAAATTTCACATGCACCCTTTCCCCTATTCAGCCCTGCACCTGAACTCATATTACAACACAGTCACTTCCTTGTGGTCTCTGAGTCACATCAATGAAACACTCAGAAGAAAGAAAAGAAGCAGAGGCAGAGTACAACATGTATCTGTGCAACATTAAACTGGATGTTGTAAACATCAGTACTATTTTTTTTAATTTGAAGTTTTAAAATCAATTATCTACGTTCCAGGCATTCAGTATTCCAAGTTATATTTATCTTTTATTATATGAAAGTCAACTTCCAGAGATGAAACCTGCATAAAACACATGATCCATCACAGTCACATTGTTGCTAATTTGTTATTAGTTATTGTCATGACGTATGATCCGACCTTCAGCTTATGTTATGACAAAAAATGGTTGTTTCCAATACGGACCCCCTAAAATGTACATTTTTCTTGTCATGTAAACTCACCCACAAAATATCCAATGCATATTTTCTTAACAGGATAAGTTCTGAGAAAAACAGCACACACTTCACACAGCCAGAGAATCTTTTGACATATTTTCTTGAAAACATACCTGAAATGAATAATGGATTTTTCTTTTCTTTTTTTTTTTTTTAAATAATTGCTGAAAAAATTGATTCTTGTATTATAAAGGCTTCATATAAACTTTTCACTCTAAAGTCTTCGAGAACGGCACATAAATTGATTTTCTTTTTCAGATTGTGGTGGGTTGAAGGGAAGTCATTAATTTGAAAAACCCTCAGGAAAATAAGCAGGAAACGTTTTACTACTATTTTTATGTTACTACAAAATAGGACGCCTTCATCGTAGATGTCACTTTGAATATATTTCAGCATTTCATCTGATGGTTTGCAAATATTTTAGCCCCCCAAAATAACCCCGCAACATATTCTGATTTCAGAGACGCTCTTGCCTGCTGAGCACAGCACAGACTAAACAACCTGTTGTGAGTAAAAGCTTTTGTTCTGCTGGGGCAAAAGTATGGCAAAGACCAATTTTATTATGCAACAGCCCATTTCCATATGTGCTGAGCAGTTCACTGAGAATATAAAAATAGGTGTCCCATTGTCTATTGTTTTCAGGCTTGGAATCCATTTGCCGTACTGATGTACAAATTTTACTTGTAAAATTATTTATGAGAATGAAAAATGTGATACTCTGTTTAATTTGCATGCAGTATGCAGCTTAATCCAGGTGCTTTAGATCAGATAAGTGTCTTAGAATCAAGTTTTGTAAAGAATTAGAGAGCATGGCATTAGTAATAATGACTCTTAGCTCACATAGTTTATCCACAGAATTTCTTCTTTGCTCTGCTCCCTTTAGGAGTTACCACTCTGGATCATCTGCCTCCATCTCATCCTATTACCAGCATCTTCTTCTGTCACACCAGCCTTCGTCTTTCACTACATCCATGAACCTTCTCTGTATTCCTCCTCTCTTCCTCCTGCCTGGCAGCTCCCTGTTACACATCCTTTGCCCATTATATCCACTATCCCTCCTCCGTACATCCAAACCACTTCACCCTTCTTTCTCTAACTTCAGGAATTTAAAAAGTCATGGTATTGGTATAGTCTACGCTTTATTGCTTTTCTGAACCTCAATACTTTAAAAATTACTACAACTACAACTTGAGCCGTGTTGTGTTAGCCTACATTTGTTTGGCAAATTGGCAACATTAAAAGAATGAAATATCTGCACTTGGTGGCTCTGCAGTGTAACTGTAGATACAAAACTATCACTGGATTACTTTGGTAGTGAAGAAACTGAGAAAAGCCTAATCATTCCCATGCAAGTCGTGGAGTTGGCAGGAGTTTTGTTTTTCTCTTATTTCTCATGAGATTCATAGATGTTTATTCATGCTGAATGTGGGAGATAAATAATTACATCTCCAGATCCTGTAAGATGCTCAATTTGTGTGGGTGTGTTTAAAGTTACAGTTTTGACACAACTTGCAACAATCAGCTACGAATTCAAAAGTGTTTACAAGGAGAATCTGCTGCAGTGACTGTGAGAGGTAACCCTGAGCAAACCTCTCATTGTTTTTAAAAGACCTGTATGCACCTGTATCTTTTAGTTTAGGCAGTATATTTGTCTCGTGCCCTCTGCCGACTCTTTCTCCTCCTCCTCCCAATAACCTCCTCAAGAGGTACTCGTCACATCTTGAAATCTTTTCCATGCTCTTTACAAGTTCTGCTTGTTCTGATGTTAAAATTTACAGTCCAGTGAGATTTTTTAAAAGCGAATGCGTTTGACACGGTCTTTACTTGGTTAAGACTTTAGTAACTTTTTAACTAAAATCCACAGGGTGCTTTGCTGCAAGTCATTCACTTTCCCATAATTTTCACGCTTTCAGCTGTAAATCAAACAGCCTGAGGATGGCACAGTACTTTAACACAAAGGAAGCGGTTCTATAGCGCTGTGGTGCAGATGATGAAATTAGAAACACCGTGAGATTGTGAGGAACGAGAAATAACAGGCGTCTTTGACAGTGGATGAACGCGACACATTGGG